TGTATGTATTCATGTAGTGGAAACTAGGTATATAACAGTAATTTATAAGAATATGGTTGACTCCTGTCATCTCAGCTCTCGTTCTCACTGAGATCCTTAATTACCTTGAAATTTTTCCAATAACAAATTTTTCCTGTTTCGATGATAGGTGTCACCACCATACGATACGACTGGCACGACTGCTCTGCTCGGTGCAAACCTGCTGTTTGAGATGCTCTGCGTTCTACCTGGTGTGAAGTACGTCTAAGCAGCTGCCTCTACAACAGGACAGTAGCACATAAAGCACATAAAGCATAAAGCACATATAGCACATAAAAATTCAGCATGAAGCACCGGATATGTTTTTGGATCTAACAAATCAAGGATTTTTCCCCAAATAAAAGGTTGATTTCAAAGCTCTGCTACAAATTGTAGAATTCTTAATTGAACTGTGGTTAACCGTGACTGTGGTTTAGACTGCAGTGATTTTAAAGCCGGGCGCACACGTGGCGATTTTTATCGCTAGCACTGGCGATTTTGTTGCCAGCAACAAAATCGCCGAGAAATCGCCACGTGTGCGCTGCATGGCGATGGTGATTTTGACGCCAGAAACTCGTCGCTGGAATATCAAACACGTTTGATATTTATTGCCAATACAAGTCGCTGAACACGTGATAAAAATCGCCCGTACTAGCATTAAAAATCACCACGTGTGCGCCCGGCTTTAGTCTCACTTTGTGGCACTGGACATATGAACGGATGTGGCCCTGTGGCAAAAATGCAGTACAATAGAGATACATGTGATAATTACGTCATCATGCCAGCTTAGTGCTGGTGCCTGCAAAGTCTAGCTTGTCCAATCCAGTACTCGAGTGCCTGGGCCCTGGAGATAGGAGGGAGCCAGAGACTGCATGGATGTGTCTGCAGTTTAGAATTCGAGATAGCAGTCTTGTGATTTAGTGAGTCTTCGTATTTTTGTTGCACCTAAAGCATTGGTGTAGCTTACTTGCCCGTGTTTCGTGTGTTGATGAGATAACATATCTTTCTGATAAGCCCGTGTTAGTGCGAGCGAAGCAGTCATGCATTGTCAGGCTCAGGGAGATGAGTAAGCTGCTCAGACTGTTCACAAAGGGACTAATAAAAAACTGATACATTGTGTAAGTCATTTTTAATGTCGCGACTATTAGACATCAAAATCACATATGAAATGTGACTTGCACAATTTAGTCATTGAGCGTGTGTATGTATATATAGTCAGTAAAAAGGCGATCACGCGTATTCGTTCACACATCAAGAGGCGATCACGCATTATCATCATGGCAAGCATTCTCATGAATAGTTCGCAGAGAAACTGCAAGCATGCAAAGGCTTCCCGTGCAGAGTACATCTGAAGGTATAATGTACATATATAGTCATATCCAGTTTCTGTTAATGATGCACCCATCCACACATATCACAGATGATACTCTGTTACTGCATACATACCCTACAACATCCATGGTTGTTGCAACATACAAACACCGTGGAACAACCAAACATGGGTGTTGTAGCTAGGGTATACATTTGTAGCGGTGGCACCGGACCCTAGACCGGGTTCCTAACAGGGTGGCTCCCTGGGAACCGGAGTGTGGGTGATCTGTGTTTGTAATTGTATAATTATTTGTGATGTCTGCTGTTTATTAGTGTGCGTTTTCGTGTTGTTTTGCCAGCTCATCAATTAACGATGTAGATAGTCGAGTCCCTGCATGGAGGCAGCCATGTTGGGTTAGCTACCCCCTCCAGCGGCC